GGCACGATTTGCTTGCATAAGTGTTTTTGTATTTTATGTCATTATTATAAGAACGGATTGAAGCACTATATTATTGTTTTATGTAAAGGTGCTTTGTCGATGGTAGCGCTTGCTAACTTTCTCAAGGACTCCTCTCTGTGCCAATCACAACAGGCTTGGCCAGCTGACCAATCAGAGCAGAGTAGGCTTATGGAAGGAAGGGTTTTGCTCTGAACGAATCGTTTCGAAATCATTGGGAAATGACTCTAATATTAAATGTATATTCTGAGAAAATTACAATGTTTTCTGACCTTAGATGCATTTAAACCTGTTGTAGGGGACTCCAACACAATATTAGGACACTTTTAAATACCATATGACCTGCTCTTTAACGAATATAAGAATATAACAATACAACGCTTATTGTGATTACTGGATGGGAGGCGGGCTAGCCTATAATGTCTGGCGAAGTTTTTTTCATGCATCAACTGAAACAGCTGAAACAGACTAAAAAAATCTATGGAATTTAAGAATCAATATTGATTCATTAAAATTAAGATAAATAAAACTAGGAGTTTCAAATTAAGTTTGCTGTATTTATTCGGGATAGGAGTGTACCGAACCACAAAACCCGTACCGGAAACCCCATTCCGAAAATATTTAACGTTACACCCCTAATATAAAAATGAAAGAGTACAAATGCACACATGAAAATTGTTTCAAATTATTTCATTATCAGTGTGGCGGGTTAGCACTGTCGCCTCACAGCAAGAAGGTGCTCCTGGTTTCAGTCCTGGCTGAGCCATGAGGCTTTTCTTTGTGGGGTTGACATGTTCTTACTATGCTGGAATGGGTTTTGTCCGGCCGGTTTTCCCCCACAATCAAAAATTAGGTGACATACAGAATAGGTGAATTGGAGACACTACATTGCCCATATAGGTCTGAGTAAGAGTGTAAATGTCTATTTGTCTTTGCGTGTTAGCCCTGCTATGGACTGGCTGGCCATCCATCCAGGGTGTTCAAGTGGTTTGGGAAATGGATTGAAGTACTGAATGCATACAAAAACGTTTGATGGTACTAAATAAAGCACCTTGGAGTGACATGTAAATACCATGGTACATGAATAAGGTGATGATTCACTATCATGGTACCATTTCTTTGCAATGAAAGGGTCTAAATATGAATTAAGCCACTTGAAGATACTTACTTCAAAGAAAAATGGGTAGGCATTGACACCCAGTTTACGCAGTAGTTTATCCTGCACCTTGGTGAGAATGCCCTGCTCTTTGTCCTGCAGTGGGGGGTAGATCTGCCGGGTGGACACGTAGATCTCTCGTCTAAACGCGATGCCCAGAACGTCCATGTCATTGCCTCCGTATCGGAACGTGCAGGATAAAGTGACATATGCTAGAGGGCAACAGAATCACAAAGCAAATCTCATTGTTATGCATGAATGTAATCAGAAGTATCTGATTTATTGTCTGTTCAGTTTCTAAACTTTGAGTGAATTTATTGACCTTTCTTCCCCTTCAGCTGTTCAGGGTCAACGAGAAGGACACCATCTGATGAAAAAAGAAAAACACAATAATATTAAAAAAGTAAACATAAATTAAAGTTTTAAGAAAACTTGATAAGTGCTTAAAATCACAGGCAGGTTAACAAAATTAGGTCTGTTCTCTCACATACCCACTGGATCCACAGAGTCAACATGATCAACAAAGTCTCTCTTCCCCATATAAACAGCCACCTGATTTAAAAACACAACATACAGTATATTACTTGATGAGCCTAAAGGAGAAAAAGCCTTCATTCTGTTTTTTTTTTTCAGGTCGCTCTAATATATCCAGACAAATATCCAAAATTTAGTTTCGTTCAAAACGCACTTCACAATTATATTTTTAAACAAACAAATCATATGTTGTTGTGGTTGTTGCTAAATTCTTTTTACTGAGATTTCCCTAGTAAAATTTTACTCATAAATCCATGAATGAGGCAAAGAGTATATACCAAACTCCAACAGTATATACTGGACACCTTTAACAAGATTTAATATTGTGTGTTCCCTCTGTCCCTGAGGGAATTTTCTGTTTTTAGAATCAACTAGACCAGTGTTTCCCAACCGGGGTGCCACGGCACCCTGGGGTGCCGTCTGTCGAGAGCAGGGGTGCCGTGTAAAAAATCTTTTTTTAATATTTTTAAATTGCTAAAATATTCAAAAAAGCATGTATTATATAATATCCATTTCTGATGTCGCCAATAATTAGAGATGCGCCGAAATTCCGGCTGCCGAAAATTAGTTAACAGCTCAGGTTTCACTTTCACGTGGTGTGACACTCTGTGTATTATCCCGCTCTATGTGTGTCTGTATTATCCACTGACTGCTTACTTGTCATTTTTTATTCAATTCAAAGTTTGAAATCAAGCTATCTCGTGCTACTGCACCAACATTACCCCACTGTAAAATTAAAAAAACACTGAGTGAGCAAAAATTTGTGAGATAGCTAGTTATAATGGTAATTAAATAATGTTTACATATGTATAAAAGCCTACATTAAAATCTGTCATATACATAGGTCTTTTCATTAGAAATTAGCCTACTGATTGCCACCATTGATGGACAAAATTTTGTAATACTATTAAAAATATCTGTATGACATTATATTCTGCAGTTCTTCCCTGTTGTACCGAATATCTATACTTTTCAAATTATCATATCGAAGTTAGAAATTCAAATATTGTGACAAAATTAATTTTGTAGGGTGCCACAAGTTTGTTAAAATTTCCAAAGGGTGCCGCAACAAAAAAAAGGTTGGGAAACACTGAACTAGACAACCACATACAATCCAGCAATCATCATGTTAACTACATTTGTAAAGCTTATACTATAATAAACATAGATTACTATACATGTTACTGTAATAAAATGAAAGAAACTATTTTTTTTCCTTTTATCTATTTTTGCAGTTTATCAAACTATAAACCAACATTCAGTAGGTCCCAAACTAGCAATGCCTAGTGAGCATCATTAAGGTTTTTTTTTTTTTAAAGGGGTCATATGATGCGATTTCAATTTTTCCTTTCTCTTTGGAGTGTTACAAGCTCTTGGTGCATAAAGAAGATCTGTAAAGTTGCAAAGACTAAAGTCTAAAATCCAAAGAGATATTCTTTATAAAAGTTAAGAGTCAACTTTAAACTTCAAACCGCTGTTTCCGGCCAAAATATGAGTCCATAATCCATAAAAACGCTTCCTCCAGTATAAAATTTGTCTCATCTTAATCAGATAAAGACAATGAATGAATAAATGGATGGGTCGATATATATATATATATATATATATCCACCCATGTAGTTATGTTAACTCACCGACTTGTCCTTGGATATTTTCTTGAAGACGATATGTTTTGGGCTCATTGTTGTTTAGAAACTTGAACACACACAAAAAAGCAATAGATTAATACCTAAATTAATGTAAAACCATTATGCAATATAAACCTAACTGCAACAATCATTGCAAGTTAGACACTGGCTTTTATTACATAAAAATTCCTATATGCCCCTTTAATCGCCGATGCTAAAGTGCCCTTTTGGGTTCGATCTAGGTGCCCCCGGACCACAATTTCTACCGAGGGGACTGTGCCCTCATAGCCACTACTCCCCTGCCCCTCCAGAGGTCTGTGCACACCAATGCTTTACAATAATATTCTTCAAATACTAGTAAACCTGCAGTCTTAATCAAGGCTTTTCAATATACGTAACGGTGACATTAAATCAAAATCACTCATTGTTATAACCCATGTCCCAAATAACACCCAACTGTGGGTCCTTTAAATTATACAGCCATTATGAATTTCATACCTGGTAGTGATGTTTTCGACTAATTTGTGAGGTCTGAAGATTGAGGATAGAGTGAGCAGTGGGGAGGAGCTGGTATTTGTACCCAGGATGTGTCTTGTCCAATTAATCAGGTTAGCCAGGGCTATAGCTAAAATCCCCTTCACCCGTTCTCCAGCTTTCTCAAATAGACAGACGGATACAGACAAACACCTAGCCATACTTCCTGAGCGGATTGGGTTGGTTCCCTTGGTCAGCACTGGGGAAGATTACTAGGCACTGACACTCTGAACACGAGGAGCAACACTTTTGTCAGGATCAAGTCACGTGCCGAAAACTGTGGTCTCTGTAGTGGTGTTTGTGAATAAACAAGTCATGTTAATTGAAGATTCCAGATGAATTGAGATACCAGTTGAAATTTAAAGGGTGAGAAATTTTGCATATGTACCAAAATCAGAGTCAAAAACAGAATTATATTTGAGTTTATAAAACAATTGCATTTGCACATTGTAACTGGAGAACTAATAAATAATCAGTGTAATCAATCAAATAAAAAATAATATTAAAAGTCTTAGTAACAGTATAATATACTTACAGTATGCACAACTGGGCAGGAATGCTTATCATTAAAATAAATAAAACTCATGTTATGTAGCATGAATAAATGGATCCCGTTAATACATGCATATAGAGATTTAATCAAAGGAGAAGATGCTCAGGCGTATTAATCATTGATAGTGCTTCAGTTATAATCCCTGACTGTCAGTGTCAGCAGTTTGAGACCCCAGGAAGCTGAGGAGAGATTATCACCATAAAAGACATGAAGTAATTGTTATCTCACACGGGATTACTTCCAGCCATAGTCATTGTGCACATACGCTCATGAAACCAAGCACAGATTGAAGCAAACAATCTGAGTATGCACATGAACTATAAATATGTTTGAATGTTCATTATAGCATGCAGTTTACAAATATGGTCTTCCTTTAACAGTTACTACAGTATTTCCCATGCTAATGTAGTTCTGAATATTATATTTCAAAGATTCAGCAATCCCTGATCCCAGTTTGTGGTCCTTTGATGCCATTTTTACTTCCATTTGATGTAACGCAAACCAGTACACTACCTCGTTTTTTTGCCACAGAATATGTAACATTTGTTGATTGTTTTACATGTTTTCCCCCTCACTTTAAAATGATAATGACTAAGTGATGGCCATCCGAAGAAACTGAATTAATAAAGTAAATGGGTTGCTAAGTGAAATGAGAACATATGTTGGAAGATGTTTTATTTATCTATTCATTTGCAGAAAGTTTTTTTTAGTTAAAATGTATTTATTCACATTCAGTGTTGGGGGTAACTCATTACAAGTAACGCGAGTTACGTAATCAGATTACTTTTTTCAAGTAACTAGTAAAGTAACGCATTACTTTCCATAAAAAGTAACTAAGTAACGTAATTAGTTACTTTTTTATGGAGTAACGCAATATTGTAATGCATTACTTTTAAAAGTAACTTTCCCCAACACTGTTCACATTGCTCTATTCACATTATCTCTACTATTTCTCTACTATTCACATTATCTCTACTGAACCTAAGCGTGTTTAGGGGAGACCTGGGGCCGTATGTATAAAGCCGCTCAGAGCAAAATTTTAGTCTTAAGCATGTAAAATTCTAAGAACTACATAATTTTACTCTTATTCCTAGACTTAAGAATAAGAGTGATTCATAAAGGTTCCTAAGTGTTAAGGCTAGGTCTCAGCTCCTAAATTATTTAATAGAGCTGGAGAGGTCTCCTAACCTAGTTAGGAGTAACAAGATGGCAGCAAAGAAAAGACACACACTTTCCCATGAAGATATGACGTATTGGAGTTATATGATGATATGGAGTTGATAAAACGATACAAACTTGATCGTCAAGATAGTCAATTATTTTTGTTACTGATCAAGTAAGAAATTTAATAACTTCCACTCTACAAATGCTGCTTAATAACTGCTTAAATGAAAGTAGAAATAAAATTTTTTTTTTGGCTGGAAAATTGGAAAAATGCAGCTATGCACCGGTGATGAGGGTCTTAAATATTGTGGTACTAACCCCGCCAAACACAACAGTTGCCAAAAGTAATGTGTGGAGGTTTTTTTTTGTTTATTTTTTTTTATGACCCCACATTTCACTTAAACCATCAAAATACCAGGGAAATTGATTTTGTTGCTAGGATTTTGAAAAAAGTCTCAAAAAGGGCGAGGAAGTAACTAAATCTTGTGACAAAATCACTAAATTGGCAACATTGACATTGACTACAACATAATCAGTTATTAATATTTCGTTGGTCCTCTCTTGTTTTTGCATGTGTTCATAATTTCTTTGTATGACAGCATGGCCAAAAATTATGACCGCATTGGCATGTTTCATTGCATTATTATCACAAATAAAACAATTGATTATAAGCAACTATGCAATTGTCAGACTCTGTTCCATGTCTCTGTTGTGTTTTCCTCCCTCACGTGCTCCAGTTTGATTATTATGCCCATATTTGGTTTTTCCTGTTCCTGTCCCTGTTTAGTTTATTTGTTGCCAGGTGTGTCCCATTAGTTTCTGTGTATTTAAAGTGTGTTCTGCCCCTCATTTCCCATCCGCTGTTAAATGTTTTCTGGTCTCCTCATTGTCATCCTGCATGATTTGTATGCCCGTTTATTTATTAAAGTTTTTTTTTTTTGTTCATCTTGCGTTTACTCGCTGCCCACTCCCTGTGAATCATGACAGAACAGTGGACCTACAAAACAGTAAGCTGCACCCCTTCTCCCGTGTTTTTGTTTTGAAGTCTTTTGTTTTCCCGTTCTTCTCCCCGCGGCCCGCCGCCCCAGAGCTCGCTCCAGTGTCGGCTCCAGTCCCAGAGCTCGCAACAGTGTCGGCTCCAGCCCCAGAGCTCGCTACTGTGTCGGCTCCAGCCCCAGAGCTTGCTCCAGTGAGGGCTTCTGTTCCCGAGTTTAGCCCAGTGAGGGCTCCTGTTCCCGAGTTTAGCCCATGGAGGGCTCCTGTTGCCGATTTTAGCCCACGGAGGGCTCCTGTTCCTGTGTTTAGCCCAAGAAGGGTTCCTGTTCCTGAGTTTAGCCCATGGAGGGCTCCTGTTTCTATGTCTGGCCCACAGAGGGCCTCGGAGCCTGTAATCTTCCCCAAGTATTTTTTTTTGGGGGGGGTTATAGGGCTCCAGCCTTAGAGGCCGGGGCGGGGGCTGGGGCCGCGGCCTCGGAGGCTGCTCTGCCATGGCCTCCTGGACTGCCTGCTCCGCCATGGCTCCCCGAGCTGCCTGCTCCGCCATGGTGCCTCGAACGGGTATCGCTCTGGAGGCCCGCCGTCCCGTGTCTGTCTTCTGGTCTCCTCGTTGTCATCCTGCCTGATTTCTATGCCCGTTTATTTATTAAAGTCTGTTTGTTTTGAGTTCATCCTGCGTCTCCTCGTTTCCTCGCTGCCCGCTCCCTGTGAATCATGACAGCAATATGCTTACAAAGCCTTTAACACTTTTTTTTTTTTTTTTTTAATTAAGGGGGAATATGCCACATTTCCTAGACCAGACTCCTAGACCAGACATCACTTTTGGCCACTATATGGCAGTTCTTTGACTTTCCAACTGACCGTCAAGCCATGCTGCAAAAACAAGTCACTTTTATGAGGATTGTGGGCTTTCCTGGAGTTGTTGGAGCCACTGATGGAACTCCTGTTCACTTCATTGCTCCAACTGCAAACGGGGAGACAATTTCAAAGCATCAGTAAAAATTTGTGATAATTTTGCACAATGCAAAGCATTTTTTAAAAATACATTTAAATATTAAAATATTTCCGTGTCTTAAATTATTTTATTGTTACATTAAATGATTAGTGTTGTGCTGCTGTGACTTCACATGAGCAGGTTCACTATTGGCTGTTTCAGAGGTTGAGGGCAGCCATTTTGGGCTGACATCATTGTAGTCCTTAGTTTGCAACACTTAAGTGTCACCTCAGTCAACACTTAA